CGTCTTGCCCACCATCTGGTAGAAGGGAGCTAGGATGATCTGGATCCATTCCATATGCTCTGCAATTGCGTTAATGCCGCCGCACAGACGCCGGATGCCTGCGACCGTCGTCGGCATCTCCAGTGCTCGCATTGTTTCCACTCGGTGGTCAAAGGCCTGCCATGTCCGGTCGGCGGACCACCGACGCCCCAAGATCTCTACGCCTGTAGTCGCGCACCACAGTGATTTGGACATGTTAATCGTGACATTCGCACGGGCCAGACACCGAGCAAACAGCCCTATATCGTGGATGTGATCAGTCTCATTGCCGGTGGTCGACTTTAGGTAAACATTATCAATGTAGACCATCAGACGTGGCCGCAGCTCTGGCACGCCGGACAGAACATGGGTCAGGAAGGCCTGGGCAATGGCAGGGGATTCGGAGTTTCCCTGCACCATGCGTAGGTTGCGTACCTTGCCTGCGCTGCCCCCGTCATAGGTCCAGAAGTCTGCGACGTCCTCTGCCAGGCGCAGCTGCGTAAAGAACGATGCCATGTCAACTGACGAGATCAGCTTGGCATCACGCAGGAACATAATGCGCTCGACTGGCGTCGGCAGCTGCATTCCAACGCTCAGCATATGTAACGAGTTGTTTGCTGAGTCGTCGAACAGCACACGCCTGTCCGTCGAGTTCGGCTTAACTTTGGAGAACACAGGGACCTGGGCGAATGCAACCGATGGACCGTCTATTCCATACTTGAGCCGGTTGGCAACGAAAGAGTTTCGGGCCTTGTGAGCAGGCTCGCTGAGTGTGTGTTGGACGGTGTACAGGGGGCACGCGTTTGTGCGCATTGGGGGTCGGATGGGCGCATAGGCTGCTGGCGGCGGGCAGCCACTCGGGTACTCACGTAGGGCGCCAGCAGCAGTCATAAGGGTCTTTAGCAGGGATTTGTGGAGCTCGTCCGTAGTGCACTGATCCGTTGTGCGGCTAGCAACATTTTCCGTCGTCACTGCTGGATACAGTGCATCCCACTTGTGGAAGTCGGCATCGCGCGCTTCAACAAAATAGCCAGTTGGTAGGCCTAGTCGTGCCCGCATTGGGCGTGAGACAACTGGTTCCTTGATCGGGGGCGCATCAGGCGGGCCGTCCATTAGTGGGAACATCTGCGGGTCTTGTGCCACTGTGGGGTCTGGCATAGTGTCATAATCCGAGTCGCGTACAGCACGGGGACCATCGGGAAGTTTGTCTGGGTGGTCAGGGGTGCGTTCTGTGCCCTTAAGGCGTCGGCGCATTGCTGGGGTCATGAGGCGGATGCCCAGGCCCTCTTGGGCATGGTTTGACACCAGCAGCTCCCATGGCACCTTCATGTCGACAACGACTGCATCGTCCCAGAACTTTGGGCCACCCTCGACCTGCAGGCAGACGGTGGCCCGCCCAATGCTCTGGTATGCCTTGTCTGACCAGATGGGGAACAGGTCTGGCCTCGAGTTGGTGCGGATACGCAGCTTCAACCGCTTGGCAGCAGCCATGGTGACCAGGCTGACAGCAGCGCCATTGTCGGCTACAGCCATTGCTGGCTTATTATGTGCGCGGAAACCGGGTGTTTTCGTAAAATGGCACAGGGCGGCCTGAGTAGAGTTAAACATATTTATTGTCCCAATAGTGTAACTGATACCCAAGCCGCTCAGGCTTTTGGGTCATTGTTGCCATATGAAAGTAGGGTTATCTTGTGGACTGTCTCGAATGCCTTGAGTCGGTCCAGGAGGGTCTCAGCAGTGACATCATTGGGCGCACTTCCTGTACATGCCCAGGAGCGGGTGTCAAGGCCATGTACTAGGCGTGAGATAGTGACTGCAGCATAGTCGCCACCACCCATGGCCTTGTAGAGCCTGCGCGCATAGTTGACCCTGTCCACTGCAGGGATGTTCTTGAAGGCCTTGGCTGGGCCTCCAGCAGCGATGCTGTGTGCCTTGGCCACAAAGTCTGCTTGCGGGATGCATTCAAGGAGCTTCTCAAAGAACTCTTCTGGTGTGTTCACGTCTAGGGTGCCCATGCGTCTGGCAGCTTGTCCGTCAAGCAGCTTTTGGAGTGCTGTGACAATCATTGCTGCAGGAGTGCGGGTAAAGATGAAGTTGATTGTCTCTTGGATCCCTGCAATCCACTGCTTGGTTGGATTTCCGATATCTTCGCCATTGAACCGCTTGGCATAGTCTCGGAGCAGGTCCAGCTCCTCTTTGGCAGCCTTGGCTGGGGTCTGGGCAGAGGAGGTGGTAGTCAGCTGGGCAGTAGGGGCAGTAGGGGCAGTGGCAGGAGGTATGGGGTGAATTGCAGTCTGCATTGTCACGTCTGACCTGACGGACATTGTTGTGTTTTTGTTTTGTTTTATGTATGTAAGCGAGTAATAAATTTTGTTATAGTAAGAGGGGGGTGTGAGGAGCACTAGTTGTCTAGTGTTAAAAGTTAGGGGTGATTTTATAAAAGGTTTTATTACTGATGTTTCTAAAGTACTACTAGGGGCCAGCCTCATCTTATATATGTTCCCAGTCGCCTTTGTCGTGCACATTGTCCATTGTGCGCTCCATTGGTGAGAACTGGATCTTCTGCGAGTAGACCGGTATCTTGGCAAGTTGATGTTGTGGTTTTCGTGCGTGTACGCTTATGCGTGTGCATTACAGGATGGGGGGCATGTTTGGGCATCAGTGTGATGCCTCCCTGATTTACACCTGCATTATCCAATTTGCGTCCTATCGATCAGCGCGCAGGTGGGAACTTGTTTCGCGGTTCTCGACCTCAACATCTGCTTCCATATCTTCAGTCTGCGCAACAATATGTACAAGCAAATTTTGGATTGCATTCATATATTTGACATTTGAAAATAGGCTTTATGTAAATTATTTGTTGGACTTCCAGACAAAAACTTGTATATATAAAGCAACAATGCGCGTCTCATATTCCAGGTATTCAGTATCCTCACAACACTGCTCACTCAGCTAACACTTTCCACTTTAGATTAAATACCAACTACAACCGCAACATTTGCAAACATGCTTTGCTTTGCCACTATCATCACCGCTCTTGCTGCCATTGCTGCCTTTATTGCGCCTGCTGCTAATGCCAGCCCCGTTTCTGCCAGCTACCAGTCCACCGAAAACACTTGCGGGAGTGGCAATGTTAACGGTGGCAGTGCTTATGGCAATGCTTATCCTTACAACGCAGGATACAACAACAACGCCTACCCCTACGGCGGAGCATACAACGCGTACAATAGCTACGGTGGTACTGGAAATTACGGCGGTGCTGGCAACTACGGCAATATTGGCAACTACGGCGGTGCTGGCAACTATGGTAATATCGGCAACTATGGCGGTGTTGGTAACTACGGTAGTGTTGGCAGCTACGGAAGCTACGCATCGGGCTTTCCAATTGCGCTCAGCACGGTCAACAACTTTGACCGCGACTCCTTTGCTGCTAACTACAACGACAACACTTATTACTCCAATAACAAGGACGCCAGCGTAACTAGTGACAAGGTCAGCTCCTCCAACAGCGCCAACGTCATTGCTTAATTGTTTGCTTTGTCAAGCATTGGCAGGGGTTGCCTATATGGTGATAGACATCGAAAATAGACCAAATTAGACATTACACACACAAACTCATTCACCACTTAATAAAATATATTTTTGGAATAGCTCGAGTTTGCCTCAACTAAAATATAGATTACAAATATATCCACTCATTTCGTCATCTAAGTGCATTTGATGAAAACATTGTTATTGGTGTATTATTAAATGTAATATTATATTCAATAATAAGAAAATGTAACAGCGCTGTTCGCTATACTTATTAATAAAGTGTTTAAAGTAAAATAACATTGGTGGTATTGCATTCATTTTGGCAGTCCTAGCTGTGCGCATCAAGTTTAGGCAAGCTACACCGTGCGCCAAAAGCTTGACCTAATAATCTAATAATCCTTTTGACATACAACGAATTTAATTTTTTGCCTGGGTAATGGGGTGGTGAAAGTCCCATCCGCGGCGATACTTGGTGATAGGTCGGTAAAAGTCCCATCCACGACGCTCGTAGCTGGCAGGATGCTTGGGGGTTGCGGCAGGAGCGAGTGGAGATATAGTAGGATTGGCGTCGGCAGGACCAGGAGCAGGAGCAGCGAGAACAACGCTGGAGGCGAGAGCGGCAATAATGGCGGTAAAGAACTTCATTATTTAAGGGATTGGATCAATGGCGTGTGTTTGGGAGGAAAAGGTAGACGGAAGGCGAATGTGTTTGATACTGTTTTGTGAGTTGGATTTTGTCGGCAAAAGTGTTCTTCTTATACACGTGTTTTTTCTGGTGGCAGTCGTGTATGCAATTGTTGGCTCTACACTGGTATGTAAAATGCAATTTTAAGCATTGCAAATACACACATTTCATTATAGATATTTAAATAGCATGTATGTAGATGAGTTCGTGGTGTGTGGTGTGTGGTGTGTAGTGTGTGGTACACAGTTTGTAGTTTGTATAAACGCATGCTGTTTCACATTCTCACACATTCTGATAAAGACGCTTTTAAAAATTTCTTTTCAAAAATACTTGGTGTCACAAAATGCACAGAGCTAATTTATTTATCTGGATAAGCCGGCAAATTCACGAATGAAATATTTTGTTTGCCCGCAGAAAGGGGATGATCGCGAATCTCTTTGTGCGAGTATGTTCCCAATTAAATATGTGCTAAATGCAAGTTCTCGCGGTTATCCTGAAATTTGCTTCACGTCAATGATCGTGTATTTTTAAAAAAAGTTGAGTTCGAACATATAACATATAACATAGAACTTGCCATTCGTCTTTTTGGCCCAATATCTTGCTCCATTTTCCAAATAAAGACTTTGCGCGCAATACGGGATATCTGCTTATAAACCATGCAAATTGTGAGTAAAGGGCAGCCTGGCTTCTTTAGCAAATTTACAGATATTTTGAATGCCAATCCTGAACCGCATAATTCTCGATTCACGCATATCAATCGTTGCAAATATTTGGTCTTTAGTTATCCCCTTTGAAAAAGACAAGCACATGCTACTGTGCGAGTCTCTTACTTATATACCAAATAATCAAATTAGAAATATAAACTGAAATCAAATATCAAACACCATATGCTTAGCAATATGGCGTAAATTTAAACCACTGCATTTCGGCTGTGAATGGGCCCTGCGACCAGTCAACAGTGCCAGCCCAGCCGCTGGTTTGTGTGCCGTCCCAAACGCCCATGCGAGGACGACTTGCACCAACTGGGAAGGGGACGCCATCGACACGGGGCAGAGTGCGGACCAGCCAGTCGTCAATGTACCACTTGACACTGTCCTTATTAAGCTCGATGGCATAATTGTGGAACCCAGCAGCCATGTCTTGAGGAATACCACCAGGGGTGTTTAGATATTGTGGTACAGGATCAACGCGCTGCCCCTTTACAAAATACATGGACTGTGCTGTCAAAGTGTCCCTGCCCACCCATTCCCAATCCAGCTCGTCGGCTGGCTCGGGCCCCGCCAGAAGAACAGTAGACACAACCCCACTTCCATGCGCAGCGCGGATGCGTCCTTCGATTTTACCGTATTGGAAATCCCACGGAAATACTATTGTCGTGCCGCACTCAGGGGTCAGCCGCCAAACCACAGAGTTTTGCGTTTGGTAGGTGTTTTGGGGACACCATTCGACGTTGAATTTTCCAAGTGCTTCACGATCTGTAAAGTCGATAAATGAACTTTGGCATGTGTAGTTTACCAGAGACCCTGCGGGTTGAGACTGGCGTGCTTTAAGTGTGCGTCTATTGCTGTTGTTTCCAGAGGTTCTTGTTTGCAACGAATTGTTGCCCTGTAGTCCGGAAAGTCCGCTCACACCACTTATGTGGCCAGCGGAGTAGCCAATAACATATCCATTAGAGGTTGCCCAAAAAGCAATAGCAGCGACGGTAGACGAACAATATGTGAACTTCATTTTGAAAATAATTATTAAAAATTAAAAGGATAGGTGCGATTGTGTGTTGATAAATACGGAAATTCAATAGAAATATGGATGATGCCGCTTGCTTTATAGGAATTTCTGTTGCGTATAAAAAAATGCATATTCGAGAGCAAATTTGTTGTCAATGCCAAACAAATTCAGAAATACCCAATAAAACTGAACATGAGAACATGCATATATTATTAAATTTAGGTCGCACTATTTGAAGGTGGTCACTTCATTTATTATTTTCGTAAATCATCTTTCATACATTACCCAGTGACCACATCAAAACAGAAATGGAATTGCAACAATACCAGCAGCTGATCACGCCGTACTACACCTTAAAATTTAAATATATGTAGGCAACCCTGCTTGAGCATTGTCTTCCAGACACAGCAGCTGACGTATAGCTTGTAAAGGCCATTTAGTTGAGCCACCATTGGATTTGAAGGGGCTTAACAGGTGACGTCATATTCGAAACTCTATCGAATAGTTGAATAAAACAAAGCACCGTGTAAACAAAAAAAAAGGCAAAAAATTGGGCTAAATTTCAATAAATACACAATTAAAAAGCAAAAGTTATGCGATGACCGGGAATCGAACCCGGGACTAATGCTTGGAAGGCATCAATTATACCTCTTAACTATCAACGCCTGATTTAATGAGCTAAAGTCAACTGCTAATATTGCAGACATAGTGAAATATCATATTCAAAAGTATTACTTTTTAGGTGGTAATGCTACCAACAATTTAATATTTGTTTAGGGCATACAGATTGTTTGAAAAGTTTAAAAAGCTGATTTTGTGTATTGCATATATTTTACATTTATGCTGTTACGCTTTGTGATTAGAAACCAAAAAATGAATATTTAAAAAGAAAAATTATGTGCGTAAAACAAGATACCTATTGGTCTTTTCCAAAATTCTCCACTATATAAGGCAGCGGAGTATAGCTAGATCGACGAGGGAATGCTTGGTGTGTGTCCACAGGCTTGCTCCTATTTTCGGCAAGAGTCCGCGTCTGTCGTAACGGAGGCGGCATGTCTCCATCATTATTTTGGCGATATTTGTGAACGGCTATCGAGTCGGGTAACCAGCCGAATGTTATTTCTGCAGGATTGGATACATTTTTGTCACCACCAAATTCATTTGCTGGTTCATTTGTTGTGGTTGAGTTGCTGTTGACCTTCTGAATGCTGTTTGGATTGGTTTGACCAAAATAATGTAAATCGGGCGGGCTCAGCATCTGCATTGGTACATTGTTGCCAGTGCCCAAACCACAGTCCTGGCGGCATAATTTTGTGCATACGGTGTTGGGTTGTTCTCTTTAATAGTTGGGGGTCCCATTTTTACATTTACAGCGACAAGGGGTGCTGTTTCCCACTACAGGTTGTGGCAATTGCGACGAAATGGTGTTGTTATTTGATTCCCATATGGCATTACGCGATTGTGTTGATTGGAAATTGCAGTCGGAAATTCTTGTCTTAACTGGTTACTGGGTGTGCTATAAGTTGTGGTTTCTGCTATATAAGGGGGCGGTAATGGGGACAATGCATTACTTTCACTGTTTGCCATTGTGTGGTTATTTGGCCTGTTCAAAGTAGCATTGTTGCTTTTGAGTGATTTTCTGCTTTCATTGCGACGGCGTGCTTCCTCGATGAGATGGTACATACACACAGCTGGTGTGTGTCTCTTATTGCTGCACGCCAAGTCAGCAATGACTGCTTCGGGATTGTATTTGAGTGTTCTCATTTTCTTCAAGGATTCCTTATTAGGATGCAATACTACAGAAGGGCGAAACGGTAAGTGATTGTTGATGGGCGTGTTATAATCCTTGTTTGTCCAAGGATGCTCTATAATTCCCTTCATTGTGATGCGATACTTGGGGTTCACAGTCAACATTTGCCTAATTAAATGCCGAGCCTCTCTGCTGAGATAAGATGGCATGCTGAATCTTCCTTGGGCAATTTTGTTAAAAATATCTTCTTTGGAACCAGCCTCGAATGGTGTGTTGCCACAAAGCATAAAATAGAGAATGACACCCATGCTCCAAATGTCAACTTCGGGGCCCGTGTACCTAACACCATTTACAATCTCTGGCGAAACAAATAGCGGAGAGCCGCAAAATGTCGACAGCTGCTTGTCCCAACTATATGTGTTTGCAAATCCAAAGTCAATAATGCGAATCATATTATCGTGGTTAAGCATAATGTTTTCCAGCTTGAGGTCGCGGTGGACAATGCAGTTTTTGTGGATATAGTCCATGGCGCTGACAATCTGGCGGAAAAAGCTACGGGCATTATTTTCGTGCAGACGCCCGTGCTCACGAACATAATCCAAAAATTGACCCTTGCTGTAGTGGTCCATAACTATTATAGTAGCCTTCCGGTTTTGAAATACATCATACATGCGCACAATATTTGGGTGGTAGAGGCGAGAAAGCAAAATGGCCTCGCTCTGAATACGGGCGTTCTGCATCTCCAAACTATCGCTTAAATTTGGGTTTGGCTTGATATATTTCAGGGCAACTATCTGTTTAGTGACTGAGTGCTCGGCTAAGTAAACCTTGCTATAGGCGCCTTTACCAAGTGCTTTCTTGATTGTATATCCATTAACTGTCTGCTCTCTTTTCCTGTGCAAGCTAGGGTAAACGCCATTATCATTTTGTTTTTGATTTGCTGCTGGGAGGGAATAATAGTGCGCTGGAATCTGTGGCAGTGGAGGAAGAGGAGGAGGAGGCGGTGCGTTTTGGAGTTGCTTGTTTTGTCTGTAGATTTCCGGGTTACCCGAGCTCTGACCATACTGAATTGCGTGTGCTTGTTGTGGGTACTGCTCCTGTGGTGACTGCCAGTTTCTTTGCGGTAATATGGGGTTTGGAGGCGTCACTTGTGCCGTGTTTTTACCGCGTGCCGCTGCATTTTCTATCGGACCATTGTTTGGTGAGCGAGGCCCATTATACAGGGGCGAGAACTGGTAATTGTTGTGCATACCTTATGGTTAAGGAATGCCTGTAAATAAAGGGTGAAAATAATATTATAAATTGAAAATTAAAAAAACTGGGAAATAAAGAAAACAACATAAAGAGCAACCACAAACCTGCTGTTTATGAGCATGGTAATGGCGCGCGAGTAGCACACACACACAAACTAAAAGTCAGGCATGAATTGCCAAAAAGGCGACTGAAAGAAAATTTAAAAAGAAAAAAGCAAGAAATATTTAAAAGGGTTGGTAAAAAAATTTACAATGTAAAAAGCACGCCATTAGGACGACGCCTTGATGTAAAGCCAAATACACATGTGAATATCAAGCTGTTTTAAAAGCATTTCTTTCTACAAATAAAAATTAGAAGCCAAGGTGTCATCATGTGGAAAAAATGAATGATGCAAATTAATTTCAAGCTGTGCTGTCCAAAGAAAAATAAAATGTGCACTCGATCACTTGCATTGTTTGTGGTTGTCATAAATGTTTCAGTCATATTACAGCATCAGGAAAGAGAAAATAGTAGGGAGAAAATAGAAAGTGTCTCACATAGAGAGGGCGGTGGCAAGTAGATCATTAAACAACAATGACACCAACAGTAATATATTTGGGTATGTCTAAAATAAAAAGACAACTAGTAAATAAGCAGCAAGGGCAGCAAATAATAATTAGAAAAAAAAAAAAAAAAAAAAAAAAAAAAAAAAAAAAAAAAAAAAAAAAAAATAAGCAGCAAGGGCAGCAAATATATTAGAAAAAACTGCGAGAACATGAGAGAAAGCAACAACTGAAAGAAGATCCAGAGTATTTCGACAGTGTTAAGAAAAACAGCAGCAGCAACAGCATTGCCAAAAATTACAAGCTAAAAAAATGCGACGGCAAGCAGCAGGAAATGTACGCACAAACGCACTACAAGACCGATTTGACTCTTATTGTTGGCAAGCATTACATTATTTCTAATGCTAGATTTAAAACAATGCTACAAGAAGTTTCAATGTGCCGTAATAAACTACATATTAATAGAAAGGCTTAATACTTTGTTTTTTGGTACTGCATACTATTGAGCTATTCTGCACAAGCATCGTACATTTCATAATGCCAATGTTACCATTTATATTATTAATCATAGTTAACTATATGATTATAAAACATGAATACAAACAAGAAATTGGGTTTAGCTCATTAAAACAAGCGTTGATAGTTAAGAGGTATAATTGATGCCTTCCAAGCATTAGTCCCGGGTTCGATTCCCGGTCATCGCATAACTTTTGACTTTGTCCTATTTCTATTATTTTTTTATGAAAGTATATTTTTGTTGATTCTTTGATATTTTTATTTTCTGTTTACAATTTGTAACAAAAAATCAGTGCTGGACAATAGTTGGCATCGCAAGTTTGACAGAAACATCGGAGGAATAGCCTCAGGGAGCATAGCCACAGTGACCTTATCGAAAATGTAGCACCTGGGTAAGTTTAGTGGGGGCAGAGCGACAATTGACTTTCTTGCTAGTGTCAATGGCCAACCTGTCCATGCTGGACACTAAAACGTCGCTGTCGTCATCGCAGGCAGCGGCTGAGATAGCGATGGGCTCCTGGGCGAATACGTTCCAGACAAGCGTCAATTCGGCTGGATCAACCGACCACACACGCAGCTTCCAATCGCGGGCGTCGGTTGACACCACCTGGTTCTCCTTATCGGCCATGCGGTCCATATACATGATAGTTTCAATGCCGTACATGGGCAGCGTAACAACAAAGCCGTCCTGCTTGATCTTTGTGACAACAGCAGACGTCAGAGTGGTCGGAATGGCAGAGTAAGTGGCGCGGCGCATGAGGTAGTGGACAAGATAGAGGTGGGCGCTAGCATCCTGGGCCTTCTTGGCGGCGTCCTTGCGCAGGTTGCAGCGATGTGCAATATCAGCAACAACTTCGGGCGCGGGCACCAGCAGCTCGGTGCTGACAGTGGTCAGTGATCCGGCGGCGGGGGTCTGCGGGAAGTAGGGCGAGTGGTAAGCTGGAAGCAGGGGGTGGTCGGTGGCAACGTGGTTGCCAAAGACAGCCAGAGAGGCCTCAAGCATGCGATGCACAATGATGTCGGCGTAGCGGCGGATGGGGCTGGTGAAGTGGGTGTACAGCGGTACGTCCAGCGCGTAATGCGCGTATCCATTGCGGTCCTTGATGGTGTGGGTGGAAAAGTAGACGGCGCGCTGCATGGGGCCAGTCAGCATGCACTCGACGGTTGAGCGGATGTCTGGGTCGGTGATCAGGTCAAGCGATGCCTGGATGTCCCGCGACGACGCCGGGTTAATGTCAATGCCGATGTGCTGCAGTTGCTTGCAGGTCTCGTCCAGCCGGCGAGCTAGGGGCGGCGAGTGGCGGCGCAGCAGCGCGGCGTCGGGGAATGTAGCCTCGATGCGCGCAGCTACGCTCATGTTGGCCAGCAGCATAAACTCCTCGATCAGCCGGTTGCTGTCCTTAATGGCGTACGGCCGGCAGGAAGTCGGGTTGCCGGCGTCATCCAGGTCGAAACTCAGGCGCACGCTGCTGAGCGACAGTGCGCCGTTGTCAAGCGCTTGCGCCGCATGATCACGGACAAACGGTAGAACCAGTGGATGCTGGCCTCGATCTGCGCGCGGCGGCTGGCCGAGGCTGGCACAGGCAGGCCGCTGCCGCCTCCAATAACCTGGTACTGCGGGATGTTCTCTGAAAGATGGGCGCCGTCGATAACGCTCTGGGCGTCGTCGTATGCCAGCTTGCAGGCCGAGTTGATGATGGTGCGGCCAAACCACGTCGACAGCACAGTGGCATCGCACGGGTCCATCTCCCACATTATGCTGAAGGCCAGGCGGTCGACGCCGGGGTTGAGGCTGCACAGGTCCTCGCATAACATGGCCGGCAGCATCGGCACGGCCTTCTCACCATGTACGTGGTCGTCGCGCGCTGGCGCGCCTGCAGGTCCAGCGCGGTCTTGGGGCGCACAAAGTATGAGACGTCCGCGATGTGCACACCAATGCGCACATTGCCGTTGGGCAGCAGGTCGCAGCTGACGGCGTCGTCCAGGTCGCGCGCCGTCGGCGGGTCAATGGTGAAGATGCAGGCCGAGCGCAGATCCGTGCGGCGGCTGAGCTCGGGCGCCGGAATGCGCCAGGGTGTCTGCGGCAGGCAGCGCAGCACTACAGGCTTAAACGGGTCCGAGCACACGCCGTTGTCCTCGAGGATTAGCATCGTTTCAATGGCCAGCGGGCCGCGCTCGCCCAGGTCCTTGAAAAAAGTTGCGCTGGGCAGCGGCGCGTACGCCGCCCAGTCGCCCATGCGTACGGTGCAGTAGTGCCGCTTGCTGCCCGCGCGCAGCGCCTTGGGCACAGCAGCAACGGGCACGGCCATCTGGGGTAGCGCATTGTTGATTGGGCGGAACCACAGCACGGGCGCGTCTAGCGAATTCTCGAACAGCGGGTGCTTCTTCAGCACGGCCGGCGGCTGGCTGCTCAGCGTGCCGGCAAAGCACCTGTCCTCGTTGGGCATCAGGACGGCCACGATTGTGCCAAAGATCTCGGGCACACGGGGGCCGGCGTCAGTGTTGGTGGCTGGTGCGCCGGGAGTGGTGCTGATGGACTCGGCCATCTCGTCCAGGCGGAGCGGCGTTGTGCGCGCATCTTGTCTATGCGGCGATCGTCAGCCAGGCGGTGCTGCTTGTACGAAGCAAAGGCCTGGCCTTTGTCGAGGATGCGGATGGCCACAGTGTCGCCTGAAATGGCGCGGTTGCGGTCGATGTCGCCGCAGATGTAAATATCATTGCCCAACCCGACATCGTAGTTGGCCAGTTCGGGCCGCACGTAGAGCGCCGCGGCGTTGGGCGTCTCGTCAAGCGACACGTAAGCGTCGGTGCGGTTCTTTGGGTTGACGCGGAGGACGCCGCGCACGAGCAGCCCGGTGCTGAATCCCTTGGCCAGCAGCGCGGCGTCGTAGTATGGCTGGAACAGCCGCGGCTGCTGGTTGGTTGCTTTTGTCGATCTGGGCGTGAACGGCGGCGCAGTGGCGGCCATCGCTGGCCTGAACGAAGGTATGTGGGTCTGGCTGTGATTTTGGGTTTGGGTTGGGTTTGGGTTTGGGTTTGGGTTTGGGTTTGGATCTGAGGGCATTGGCAGCCTCGCGCTTGCGAGTGCGGGCACGAGCGCGGTTGCGTGCTCTTTTCGCCTTTTTGTCGGCAGTGGCGGCTCAGCAGAAGCAGAAGCAGAAGGCAGAAGCATCAGTAGTAGCAGCAGAGTGGCTCTGGCTGTGGATCTGACTGTGGCCCTGGCGTTGATTTTGGGCCTGGCATTGATTTTGGCCTTGGCTCTGACTGTTGTCCAGGGGTCCATGGGCTGTGTTAGTAAAAACAAAGTGCAAAAGCTAGCAGTTGGATTAAAGGTGAATTCTTGGGTGAATTTGGGTGAATTCTTGGGTGAATTGAGGGTGAATTCTTGGATGAATTCTTGGGCGAATTCGGGGTCTTGTAGAAAGAAAGAGAAATAAAGAGGGGAAGGGTTTGGATGGGATTTTATATGCGAGCCAATGTGCAACAAAAGGAGAAATATATTATTTTACTTTTAAAAAGCAAGCGCGGGGGGGGGGGGGTGGATGATGGAAGCACTCGTTTGATTGTTTGCTTGGTTGGGTTTTCCAAGGGTTTCATGTCAGCCCTGGCTCGGCTGGGCTGAGCTGCATTTATTTGGATATTGTATTTTTATTATAATTAGCGCTCGGGTATAAACAAAACAAGCCAGAGCACGCAGCATAGTATTTTGTTATTTATTTAATTATTTTCTTTCCAATTCGTGCCTTGCGTTAACATTTAATTCTTATTAATTCTGATAATTCCTAATAGTTTACAGTTTGTCTATAGTCATTGGCGATAAATGCACAGCTCCGATGAGTCAGAGTCGGAGTCGGCAGGGCCGAGGACGCTGGCCGAGCGGATAGCGCGGCTCGGGCTGGAGAAGGAGGCGTCGGGGGCAGCCGGCAAGCGCGTGTCAATGTACGCGGACAGAGAAGGCCATACACAATCGGCGCGCGGCGGATCAGCGTAGCGCAGGGGGCCCGCGGCGGGTTGCCGTCGCTGCCGCTGTCGTCGTCGTCGTCAGAGGAGTCTGTGCTGTCGGGCGGCAGCAGCATCGCGCAGCCGGGCATTCACAGCATGTTCACGGCGCCCGCCGACGGCGGCAATCCGTTTGCCAGCCCGGAGCTGGGCAGCACGCCGGTGTGCACGCCGCTGAGCCCCATTGCGCCAATACCGCCGGTGCTGGCGCGCCGCAACACCGACACGCCAGCGCCACTGCAAAACAGGCTGAGCCGCGCCGCGCCGCCGCTGATGCCGAAGCCGCCGGGAATCAGCACAATGCGATCGCCACTTATGAGCAGGGCGGCTGTGGGCACAGGGCGTGGCGGGTCACTGCCTCCGCCTCCGCCGCCGCCGCCGCCGCCATCATCAGGCTCGCCGCCGCCGCCGCCGCTGCCGCCGCCACCGTTGCGCCAGCCGCCCACGCCGCGGCTGCCCCCGCCGCCGCCAATCCCGGGCGCAGGCACAGGCACAACAGGCCTAATAGGATCGGCGGGATCAGGCCCGGCGCCGACGGGCGCAGCCAGGCGAGCTGGGCTCCCGCTTCCGCCGCCGCCACCGCCGCCGGTCGCCGCCGCCGCCGGCCTCGGCGCCGCGCGGTGCGCCCTCGACTTCAGCGGCGACCCGGCGCTGCGGCCGGTGCGCGCCGACTACGGGTCGAGCAGCCGGCGGCCGCCCGTGCTGGGCGCGCCGGCGTTCCTCGGGTTCGAGACGACGCACGCGGCTGTGGCCAGCATCGGCGGCGCGTACGCGGCGGTCGTCAGCCAGGCGCGGCTGGTGTGCACGCGCATCGACACGGGCGACGTGTGCGCGCTGCACAACGCGCCGGGCCCCGAGGAGCGGTTCACGTGCGTGGTGGCGGTGCCGGCGGCGGGCATCGACGCGCAGGCCGAGGGCGCGCGGCTGTGGGCGGCCACGTCGGCCGGGCGCGTCGTCGTGGCCAGCGCGGCCGGCGCCGGCGCGCACATCGAGCAGATGGCCGGCGGCGTCGTGTGCGTGCTGGGCGGCGGCGCCGGCGAAGTGTGGACGGTGCGCGACGACGGCACCGTCGAGGCGTGGGCCGACCGCGGCGCCATGGCGGCGCCCGAGCACATGGCGCCGCTGGCCGCGCGCCGCCGGTTCTCGATCGCAGCCGAGCTGCCGCTCATGCGGCGCGCGCCGACGCCGCGCACGGCGCTGGTGCTGCGCGGCCGCGAGCTGTGGGTGGCCGGCGCGCGCGGCGTCTGGGCCTTCGACGCGCTGCGCACCGGCAGCGCGCTGGTGGCGCGCTGCGACCTGCGCGCCGGCGAGCAGCCGCTCACGTGCCTGGCGGCCAACGTGGCGTTCCTGGCCGAGCCGGCCGTCGCGGCGCACGGGCTGGTGTTCGGCGGCACCGACGGCGGCCACGTCGTGGTGTGGCGCGCCGCGTCGTGCGCGCGGTGGCGCACGGTCGACGTCGGCGGCGGGCACGGCGACGCGCGCGTGACGGCCGTGGCGTGCGCGTCGGCGCGGTGGCTGTGGGTGGGGTTCGCGTCGGGCCGCGTGGCCGTCGTCGACACGCGCGACTGGGCCGTGGCCAAGGCCTGGGTGCCGGCGCCCGGCGCGGCCGTGACGGGCATCCTGGTCGACTGGACGCCGCTGCTGACGCCGCGCGCGCGGCTGCAGGTGGCCACGGTGCACGCCGGCGGGTCGGTGCGCTACTGGGACGGCGCGCTGGCGGCCGACGCGCAGCTGCACGCGCTGCGGCGCCGCGCGCGCGAGTTTGCGGCGCCGCGCCGCTGGCCGTGCACGTGCACTCGTGGAACGCCGGCGCCGTCAAGCCCGGCGCGCTGGGCGGCGCGCTGGTGCAGTGGCTGCGCGCCGGCGGCGCGGCGGCGCCCGAGCTGGTGGTGGTGGCGCTGCAGGAGGTCGTCGACCTGGAGTCCAAGACGCTGACGGCGCGGTCGCTGTGGCGGACGACGACGTCCAAGGCCAAGGCGCGCGGCGGCGGCGGCCAAGGCGCCGACATCACCAAGCGCTACGCGCGGTGGCGCGCGGCGCTGGAGGCCGCGCTGGGGCGCAACGCGGCCTTTGCGGCGCCGTTCCGCGTGGTCGAGGCGCAGAGCCTGGTGGGGCTGTTTGTGTGCGTGCTGGCGCGCGACGACGTGGTGCGGCGCGTGCGCGGCGTCGACGTGGCGCACGTCAAGACCGGGCTGGGCGGGCTGCACGGCAACAAGGGCGCCGTGGCCGTGCGGCTGGTGGTCGACGACGCAGCGCTGTGCTTTGTCAACGCGCACCTGGCCGCCGGCGAGTCGCCGCGCAACCTCGACGCGCGCCTGGCGCACTGCGCGGCGATCGTCGCCGGGCTGGGCTTTGCGCGGGCCGCGCCCGAGCCGCTGCCGGGCGGCACCGGCGACCTGTTCAACGCCGCGCTGGACGCGCTGGCCGACGGCGACGGGTCGCGCTTCCTGGACCACGCCGCTGCTTCTTCTCGGCGACCTCAACTTCCGCCTGCGCCTGTCGCGCGCGGCGGCCGACCGCTGCCTGGCGCTGGGCGACCTGGCGCCGCTGCTGCGCCGCGACCAGCTGCTGCCGCTGCTGGCGTCCGCGCCGGCGCTGGGGCTGCCCGACGGCGACGCGCCCAACGGCCCGGCGTACTTCTGCGAGACGTCGTCCGACGCCGACGCCGATGCCGACGCTGACGCTGACGCCGACACCGACGCCGAGGCCGAGGCCGGGCCGGCGCGGACGCGACGCCGACGGCGCGCTCCCGCACAACGCCGCTGGCTCGGCCTTTGCGCTGCGCGCCTTCAGCGAGATGCCCATCGGCTTCCCGCCGACGTACAAGTACGACCCGGGCACCGACTGCTACGACACCAGCGAGAAGCGGCGCACGCCGGCCTGGTGCGACCGCGTGCTGTTCCGCGCGCGCGCGCCGGCCGACGACGCGCCCGGCCACATCCACCCGCTGTTCTACCGCCGCGTCGAGGACATCCGCCTTAGCGACCACCGCCCCATAACCGCCGCCTTCAGCGTCGCCACCGCCGTCGTCGACCGCGCTGCGCGCGCCCAGGTGGCCGCCGACGTGTGTGCCAGCTACGCGCGCAACGACGCGCCCGAGCTCGTGCGCACCGCCAAGCTGCTGTGGCTCGCGCGCCACACCGCCAGCATGGCGCGCGCCATCGACGTGCTTGACCACCACGCCGGCGACCTTCAGGCCGCCGTGCACAGCCTGTACCAGTGATTCCAAGCCTTTGCTCTTGCGGCTGCGGCTTTGGGCCGCGGCTTAGCATGGCGATGGCGATGGCGATGGCGATGGCGATGGTGATGGCGATGACGATGACGATGACGATGACGTTTGCCCATTTTATTTACATTTATGCCTCAATTCGAATCCCCCCTCTCGCTTTCATTTTCATTTCCCAATTTCAATTCATTATTTCCAATTTCTCTTTGCCATTTGCCATTTGCCATTTGCCATTTGCCATTTGCTCAACACACTCCAAATGCCGTCCAATTCAAACCAGCCCGAGCCCGACCTCCTCCAGCTGCGCGCCATTCTGCGCGACGAGCTCATTTCAATCCTCGAAACGGTACCTTAGCCACACACACACCACACACGCACACACACGAAATGAACAAGCGACCCAATGCATCCCACTCTCTCAATCCCTCCCTTGCTCTCCTCCTCATTTTTAGATTCGAGGCGCCAAGTCGCTCGTCCTCGACAAGGACCTGGCCGGCGCGCTCAGCTCCATCGTCGACTTTGCCGTGCTCAAGGACCACGGCGTCGAAAAAATCTACCTTTTGGAGCCCGGCCCGCTGCCGGCCACGACGCCCAGCACAGGCATAATCTACTTTTCAATGCCGCACGTGCGCAAGATGAAGTGGATCGCCGAGCACATCCGCCGCAACAGCAGCTCGCCGCACGACTACTCGCTACACCTGGTGCCGCGGCGCACGCTGCTGTGCGAGCGCGTTTTGGAGGAGGAGGGTGTGCTGGGCGACATTACTGTGTCGGAGTACCGGATGGATTTTATCCCGCTCGAGGACGATCTGCTGTCGCTGGAGCTGCCCAACACTTTCAAGGATTTGTATTTGGATGGCGATTTTTCTAGCATACAGTATGTTGCACGCGCCGTTATGCGCCTGCAGACGCTCTATGGCTTTTTCCCGAGGATTGTCGGCAAGGGCGACTTTGCTCGCATCCTGGCCGACTCGCTTACTAGGATGCGCTTGGAAATGGTCGCTGCGTCCAACGCATCGGCGAAGAACACGGCCGTGCTCGCAATGTCCAGTGTGTTTGACTCCGTTGTCATCATCGACAGGGCCGTCGATCTGGTCACGCCCCTGCTGACCCAGCTCACATACGAGGGCCTGATCAGCGAGGTTTACGGCATCACCAACGGCTTCGTGACCCTACCCCAGCAGCAGCAGCAGCAGCAGCAGCAGAACACGCCCAACACAGCATCGGCCAGCCAGTCCCCGCCATCACCGCCATCGCCACCACCCCCACCATCCGCCAGGGGCAGCAGTAGTGCACCGCGTCGCAAGCGCCTGGCCCTGAACTCCCAGGACGACGCCATCTACCGCGAGACACGCTCGATGAACTTTGCATCCGTCGGCTCCCTCCTCAGCAAAATGTCACGCCAGCTGCAGGACACTTACGAAAGCCGCCACAAGGCCAAGACCGTCCAGGAAATCCGCTCGTTTGTCGGAAAGCTTGGCTCCCTCCAGGCCGAGCACCAATCGCTTAAGGCCCACGTCTCCTTGGCCGAAACCATAGTTAAGCGCACACAGTCCGACGATTTTAACTCGCTGCTAGATATTGAACAGACCCTGGTTGCCGGCTCAGACCTGTCCAAGGAGCAAATGGCCTATGTTGAAAAACTCTTTGCTCTGGCTGATCCCCTGGCTAGTGCCCCCGGTGTGCCCGGAAACGACGATGTAACGTCGTCGACCCAAATGCTGCCGCCGCCGGCTCAGGCCCCGCATTCGCTGTACAAGTGCCTGCGCATCCTGTGTCTCTACTCGCTGTGCCGCAGCGGCCAGTCAGGCTTTAAGCAGAAGGTCTATGACGCTTGGTACGAGGAGCTTGTTTCTGCCTTTGGCCACCAGCAGACCGTCACTCTGGATAACCTCAGCAACGCTGGGTTGTTTGTATCGCCGGCCACAGCAGCAGCAGCAGCAGCCATGGGCGCCGGCAAATCCAACACCAACGCGCAAGCACCAGCCATTAACATCAGCACCAGCACCAGCACCCAACACCCAGCAGCGGCCTGCTGAACACCGTAGCACCGTCAACTAGGCCACGGAATTCCGTGCATACCAACTCCATGGCATTTCTGCGCAAGTCGCTCAACCTCGTTGTTAGTGATGTGCGAGAGTCCGATCCGAGGACATCTCGTACGTGTACTCTGGCTACGCGCCGCTCTCCGTCCGCCTGCTGCAGTGCCTGGTCCGGGACCCGGCCGTCTACACTGCACCCACCTCCAACCGCTACGCCTCCCTGCTCCTACGCCCACTCAACATGTCGCTGCAAACAGCCAGCAACCGCCCAGCCTCTCTGCAAACCTCTGATGACGGCACGCAGAATACCGGCGGTGTGAAGAGCGGGTGGACTGGGTGGGAGGATGTTTTGAACGAGTTGCCCGGCGAAACCGTTGATCTTGTGCAGACCCCTGGCGATGGCGATTCGAGACTGCCGCGGGTGCTGCTGATGCTATGATTCGCAGGCTCGGGGAAAAGGCTCCTGCCACTTTGGTCGTGTTCCTTGGCGGCTGCACGCATACGGAGATCGCTGCCCTGAGGCTTTTGTCGCTTCAGCATAACCACCGCTATGTCGCCGCGACTACAGAGATCATCAACGGCAACTCGTTCTTAGATCCCCTGATTCAGAAAACCCTGCCAATCAAATAAACAAACCGTGGTTCGATTGTACCATTTTTCTCCAAAAAAAACATAAAATGCCGCAAGTCAACTGCCGCCAGACATTCTCTTGTCTATTTTCAAAAAAAAAATTCACTTTGGGAAATCCTTACCTTTTTTATTTTTATTTATTTTATTTCACCGTAATAAGAAATTACACAAAGCACTTGTCGTACATCCATCACATCCATAGTATCCATCGACCCACCACACAATTACAGCTTTCATTTTCACTTGGCTTTTTCAGTGTAATCTTCACATACATACTAATAATCATTGTTTTGTTGTTGCTAAATATCCAATGCTATCGTAGCTATTGTGTAACTTTGTGCAAATACAAGCAAAAAAAGACAAAACATTAGCAGCTATATGCTGGGGCAGCGTTAGCAGGAGCCAAGTATTGCGCAACTTTATGTACAGATATGAGACTAGAAAATCCGATTAGATTGAAAAAATCCAAGTAAAAAAGCATTGGCCGACGAAAACGCAAGTTGAAGACACCGTAGGCGCAAGTTGTCACCCCGGAATGCGCGCAAACAAATTCTGGCGGACATGAACAAAAGGAGCAAAGCGAGCATGTAAAAATTTGTAAGAAATAAATAAGGAAAGATAGTTTTTTTCGGGTTTTATTGGCATATTAAAAGCAATAAAAAAAATGCAGTGACAAACTTTTTTCAATTGTATACAGTGGGGTTTACCAACCTACGCTTTGCCTAGTTATTTTTCTCATCCACTTACTTATTTTTGCATATAATTATACTTTTAAATAACAAAATATGTTTGAGCACGCAGATAAAATAAACAAGCCAATACAACTGATTATCTTTGATAAAGAAAGCAAGGCGGTACAATGTGTATGTATAAATGAGAAAAACGTGGATATTACAAAAAAACAGCAATGGTTAGACGGATACCATAAAGGTAGAAGTATTATCATATTAATTATAATAGAATGTTATGCCAAAAAATGGTAGGTGAACTAAAAAAGGCTACTAGTGACATCTATCTTTCACTTGAAAATCTCATATATTTAAAAGTGAAAATAATAAAACCGTACGCTTTGGATTTGTGCATGTAGCTCCACACCATACCATTAAAGAAATCAAAGTAAAAATAGCTTTAAAATACCCATTATTGCTGGACTCTTTTGAAATAACAGACGCCAAAAACCCATTGTTAATTATAACCATTTCTTCAAAATGAGGATGTTAATGCTTTATGATATTATTATTTTACATATGCATGTCCATGTTATTAATTTTTTTAGGTTTTACCTAGCTTATCATATGTCAATAAATTGATGCCCTTTATGTCCTTTATCAACTAATCAAGTGGAAAATTTGAGGCTTATCAATATTGCAAGTTATATTGCCTACATGTGTTGATACTGAATGTATCTAAATAATTAAGCACAGTAGATAACTTGAATTCTGGAAGCGACGTTCTGTGAATGTGTAGATAAACTACTATGTATCAAGGTGTATTATAATATAAGTGCTATGCACCGGAAAATGTGAAGAACATATTACTTTGTTTGATCACTGCGTGACTATTAATTGAGTGTTTGTCTGGGTAAGCAGCCAATACTGCTTAATCAGTTGATCACGACCAACCAATACTTTTATGTTTATTATTTGCCTTTCTTCCTCCCACGACCAACATATAAATACGACTAAAGGCAAAAATAAAAAACCATCGGTCAGAGTTGTATAAATTGTGTAGTTTTTTATACTGTTTGTTATGCTGTGTTGTGTTTAGGGCGTGTGCTTGGGGTCATTAGAGAGTCTGGAAATACCCGCCATGGTTGCTGGACATTTTTTTAAATTTGATTATCTCTGCTAACAAAATGGTTACAGGCATAATAAAGAATAAAGCAATCTGATAGCAACTGTGGTAGATGCACTCAAGTCACCTCGTTTGGACACAAGTTTATTTGCCTGCTTGTTTGATTTTTTATTAGTTCATTACCAATTCTTTTATTTTATGCTGTGGGGCAAGTCATTCATTAAATTCAATTTTCAGCTTAGATCCTTCCATATTTTTTATTATTAGCACCCATCAAATGTTCTCCATATATCTTGGGAATATGCATATATCACAAGAGCATCATATTGCATTTAATTTGCGTCAAGGATGCTAAAGATAAATCAAATGACTGTACTTCTGTATACACTTTACACTTTACACTATCTACATATCCATATACCATGTAATTTATCCTCTCTTTATTTTTTGTTGGGGGTAAATATCAAAAGTGAAAATATACAAATATATATGGATCGACACCGCATGCCTCTTCAATCACTAAAAAATGAAAATAAATTTTTTTAGCTGGCGCTCGGCAACAGTTTTATTTAATTGAGCTTTAACTGTAGCATTGGTTGCCCACCGAGCAAACGCAAAGGTCAGTTTATATCTAAGAAAGTTGTGCTGGCACTCGGGTATTGTGTTTATGTGTGCCAGTTAGAACTAATATCAACAATAAGTGGTGGTAAGCGCACGCAAAAAGCTCGCCTCTTTTTATTCTTCTATATTTGCTGTGTATTATGTCTGTAATTTTGGTCGACACACAGACGATCCCACTAGTTACAAATATACTATTACCTCTGCGAGGCCGCACATGGCAAGCACCCAAGCACCACATGTGTTTATGTTCTGGTGAGGGTGAGCGGTGGTTTTTGCTTTTTCTGACAGCCAATGTGAATTATTTATTGTCTTTATATTTGAAACGGACTTTTTGTTGGGCGGGATTATTTTAGGGAACGCAGCCACCCCTTCCCCTGGTATATTGGCACGCAAAAAAGGACCGCTTCAAACAATTGCAACGAAATAAATTATACTCATTGTTTGTCTGCAACTGAGCTGCTTCATTGGATTTCAAAATTTCAAATGCAATTATAATGAGAGCGGAAAAAACAACTTATTTTCGTGTGCATCATATGGTATCCAGTTCTTTATTTTTGCGTACGCATTTTTCCGCACTATACAAAAAGAAAAGAAAAAAATGTAAAAAATGAAAATGAATAAATAATTTCTGGTCGCCAAAAAAGCAGAAATGGGAGGGCTATAAAAAGGGGGCGACAAGTTCCTGGCCACCTCCTCCTCTCTCTGTTCTCTTTTTTCTCCTCACACAGGTTGCCTCACTTTCCCTTTTATTTGATGACCGTCTCTCGCTTCAACAACTGTGTCATAAGGTAATGCACAAAGAACGTATGAAATGTACCAACCAACTATACAACCTTTGGCACCCCACGTCATTGTCCCGGTATCAGACCTCATGGCATTCGTGCTGTGTTGTCCGGTAGAACTGCCCGTTGTTCAGACAGCCGACGCCCCCGGCCCTTGCTGAGCTTAATAGAAAGTGTGTTATAATCTGCTTCCGGCCCCTGCTGAGTCAATGTGGGGGCGGATGGTCCTCTGCTTCCGGCAACTTTGTGTTTGATGTGCACCACTCAGCGCCTACTGGGGCTGCGCATCCGTCTCCTGTTTTGTGTTGTCCCTTTCTTGGCCGCTGTCATTGTTGTGGTTGATCTGCTTCCTTTCATCACATATCAATGGTCCACTTTGACGGCCCTGAACAGCTTTGTGTGATGGTCTTCATCTGGAGCCAAGCCCTTATTTTAAGTGGGGGTGGAAGCGAAGGAAGCACCCGACCATGCGCGAGCGCTCAGCCGGCTGGGGCTGCGAGTGGACCGGAGAGTGTTGCTTTTTTGTGGAGATTGACGAAAGCGCCGCAAGTATTACGCGGGGCTGGTGTAGGGCAACAGTCCTGCGTTCCGTATGCGCGTCGTAGTTGTTGCCTTGCGAGAGCAAGGCCGTACACAACATGTACAACTCTATTGAGTTGTGGTTTGGTAAGCTGCTTGGCTAGGCTGAGAGCCTTCAGCTTCCCCGGTGCCAGAATCGAAGCAGCAATTCAAGGTTGTGGGGGTGCTGGAAGGTCTATAATTTTTTGAATTGTTTTATAATCTCTATCCAGTACCTCCGGTGAGTAAAACGCCAAAACTAGAGAATAAAAACAATCCCCAGGTTTGAGAGGGTCGCGATGTTTTTGGTTTGCATGTCATGTTAGTAGCTGTGGGATTGACTGGAGACCTTTTGTTGGGCCGGGCCACCCGAGAACACTAGGGAGTTTGAGGATGCCTTCGGCGGTTGCTATATGATGATACGATATGCCTGCAATAAAATTGCAAGAGTTACCTTTTAATAGATACTCTAAATTCCTCGTCACTGGCCACCGGTGGCGGGGAAAATGAATTCGCAATCAAATCTGACATCAACCGTGGAAAGCACACTCAATATTCCCCCTTTGAAACTGGATTTGCTCGCCCGAATAATTTTAAAATGTATTGTTGACATAATGTTTATGTTCCGTAAATATAATTTTAACTTTTAGCTTTGCACATTTATTCAAATTATTATCAATGTTGGCAGCAAACTTAAATGTATACTGGTGCGACATTAGCTGTAAAAAGGATGCCCAACTGCCAATACACTGGCCAAAAAATACATTTGCCACGAGCTGGTGCAATCAACACCAGTGTAGACAAGGCTTGTACACAGATAACAAAAAATGGGATTTCAGAAATTCAACCTGGCTATTACAAATAAATTTAAAATACATTTTATAGCAAGGTAAAATAGGAAAATGAATTCCAGAATATTTCCTTTCGTGCTAATTGTCAATATAAATACTTTAGATATTGTAAACAATAAACGTTTAAATCCAAAATCGGCCTTGGCCTATTATAATACTTTTGTCACTGCGAATAAAGAGCAGTCACTATTCCCGCCGCAATGGTCTCGCCGTTCTTGCGCAGCATAACACGGCCCAAATCCTTCGAGTCCTTGAAAAGTTCCAAACACACTGGAGTCTCAGTTCTGATTTCAACCCGCGCTGTCGCTCCCTTCCTAATATGCCTTGGCCGCTTCTTGACAACCTCGCCTGTGCGCTGGTCAAACGTCTCGATGATCTTGTGGATGACCGCTGGCACGTTCAAGCTTTGGATATGCATTAGTCCCGGGAACCCATTGGTAATTGGCACCTGTGGATCAAACACCACCAGCTGCGCCTCTAGCCGTGTCACAGCCTGGATAGGCTTGGATGTGAGTGCTGAGGCGCAGACAACAGACCCAATAGAGAATTGCTGAATGTCAATGTCCTGGATCATCAGGACCACAGAGTCACCAGCTACCGCCCACTCTTCGGCCTCGTAGTCCACATCAATGGATTTTACCACTCCAGTGGATCCGCTAGGAACCAGTGTAATCTGCTCTCCAATCTGAACATGGCCCTGCGCTATGCGGCCGCTGACGCTCACGCTGTTGCCACTGCTGAAGGACCCGCCCTTGAAGAAATCCGTCACTGCGAGTCTGAAAGGCTTGCTCACAGGTCGCTCCGGCATGGTGAACGTGTCAATCAGGTCCACCAGGCACGGACCCGCTCCAGGAATCACATTGCTGTCCCCCGCTGCTGCTGCCGTATACCAAGATGTTAGTTCACTGGGAGCCGCCTCGCCATTAGCCGCGTCGATTCGGCGCACAAGGTTGACACCCTTGAGCCCACTGACGGGTGCAAAGCGCACATCCTCCTTCAGGTACCCACAGCCAGTCAAAAAGTCAAGCAGTCTGCCCGAAATCTCATCGTATCGCTCTTGGCTCCATCCAACGACATCCAGCTTGTTGACCGCCACCACCAGCTGCCGCACACCCAGCGAGCGGATGAGAATGGCATGCTCGCGTGTCTGACCGTTGCCGTCAAACCCGGACTCAAACTCGCCCATCGACGCGTCGACGACCAGAATAGCCACATCTGCGCGACTGGCACCAGAGATCATATTGGGTACAAAGTCCCTGTGTCCGGGCGCATCAAGCAAAGTGAACTTGCGATTCTTTGTCGAAAATGAGCTAGTCGCAATGTCCATCGTTACGCCGCGCGATCTCTCCTCTTCGGTCTCGTCAAGCACCCAGGCGTAGGCAAACGACCCCTTGCCTATCTTCTCAGAGTCGCGTTCAAACTTCCGCATTGCGCGCTCGTTCACTTGGCCCATGGCATACAACAAATGGCCCATAAGCGTGCTCTTGCCCGCATCGACGTGTCCCACGACGACTAGATTCAAAGTTTCACGGTTTTTTTGCTCCTTGGAGTACGCGGCAATCACATCGATGCACTTCTTTGATTTGACCTGCTGCGGCGGCGCTGAGGACTCGTCCGTGGGGGTGGTGGCGGACACATGAGTTTCGACGTTGCTCTGCTGCGAATGCGGCCGGCTAGTGTCCCCAATTTTCAGCTGGCCAATCTCCTTGGATACGGATACAGCCGCTGATGCTGCGGGTTTTGAGGAGGAAGGGGATGCAGTGGCATTCTTGGCAGCGCTTGATTTGGCAGGCTTTGCTGCGGGTGCGACAGGCGCCTCTATATTGCAATTTATGAGCAGATAGACCGATGCACCAGGATCAAAATGTGACTTAGCGTGAGTAAAAGCAAACTGTTATTTATATACAAGTGAGCCCAAATACATAATTTTTTACAATGTTGCAACATGATATTACAAGAGTGAGCAATTGCTGGCCAAAACAGAGGAATTCATGCAGAATCCCTGTTTGACCATCAGGTGTGATGTGAGAAGAAAAAGCGTTGCAAATGTTTGGGAATAGAAATATAGTCAATCATCGAGTGGAAGAGCTGCTGCTGATAGACGAGCTGGCTCCCACAGCCCTGCTTTGAGCTGCGAGAACCCGGTCATCAGGGCTAGGCGTGTCAAAGGAAAATCGCCCGACACCAGTGCCCGTCGACTTATCCACAAGCATACGAATGAGTGACGGGTGGCCAGCAGTGATTTGATGCTTAGACAGTTGCAAATTTTTGGACGAATTGCTGCTACTTTGAGGAATCTGGTCGAGCAGTTCTTGTATCTCGCGCTTGAGCCCATCGACAACGGCCAAAGATGCCTGTGACGCTGCCGCCGCCGCTGTAGTCGACTCACAAGCTTCGCTGTTGCTGCTGTTTGGCGCAACGCCATTGAGAATAAAATTAGCTAGCAAGGATGGTTGTGCGCTCGCAACCGGTGAATCCGCAGCCAAGTCTTGTGTGCCCGCCCTGGCAGCCGGCAAGGCCACGCTTTTGAGCGCTGGCAGTTGCCGTCCGGCAAAGTTCTTTAGCACCGGGTTGGACGTCGGCTGCCTCGCCTGAAGCCCGGGCCTAGATGCCAATTGAGAAAGCGAGAGCCCCTGAATCCCACCGATGCTAAGCTTTCCTAAACTGGCGGGTTGGATTGGGCGCGTCTTCAGCGCAGCCAGTGCTTTGCCAACCACAGACGGCGGGTTTGCTGTTGTCGATTCGGCTGTCGCCGAGGGTGATGATGTGCGGATGCTGCTCAGCGAACCAAGAGATAGCTTGCTTAGCCCGTTGCTTCCAGAGGAAACAGATGCCAGCGACCTCAGTGAAGAGCCCGTTGATGACAAGGATGACAGAGATCCCAGGCCCGCGGGCTTATTCTTTGCCAGTCCAGCAAGTCCGGATAGTGTTGGCGGTGTCAGTGATTTTGTTATGCTGGTTTGCGGCTTCTGTCGTTTCTGTGCTGGGTGATTTCCGGGGCGATGGCGCGCATTAAGCAGTAGCGCTGAGACTTGAGCATCGTAGACATTGTCCATATCCACTATTCTTCAATACCATTGGGAAAAAGCAATGTCAAAAAAACGCCAAGAGTATCGTGCCGTTTCAAAAGAGAATGAAGGAAAAATAGGAGAGAAAAAAGAAGAAAAGAGAGATTGGGAGGCACGGGAGGATGAGGCAGGCAGGCAGGGAGGGAGGGAGGGAGGGAGGAAGGGGAGGGGAAGAGATGCCAATAAAATATACAGGAAATAAATAAAAGAAAACAGTGGCAAATTTGGATATTTAGAGAGCACATCTAGACATACAAGTAGACAAATGAAAAAATGAAAAATGAGGGAATGAAATAACATGTATAACTTACTCTTGGACTTCAAATTGTACGTCTCTATATGAAATGTAGTAGGGGGTGTAAAACAAAATGAACAGGGTATAATTAGTAAAGAAAATCTTTAATTAAACCCCAGGATTGTTGCCAGCAGTCAATTAAACGCTTACTTCTCAGCCATGCGATGGTCGCCGCTTCGTCAAAATAATAGTACCACAGCGACTCCTTAATATCCTGGTCTTCAATTCCTGTATTCGGCCCGAGAGTGTCCTTCACCGCCTTTAGTCCCTTTTGCAACTTGACTACACGCAATTATGTAAGAAAAAAGCAATATTAACAAAGTGTCTCGTTTTTAAAAAAAATGTCCAATGAAAATTCATGTGAAAGTTAAAAGGTTTCTTCAGTACTTGAAAAACATTAATGACAGGAATGTTTAACTTACTCTGTTCCTCATCGGTCAAATCCTGCAGCTCGTCGTAAGCGGCACCGTCCTCCTCGTCGTAAAACTCTACATGTATGAATGTCATATACCAAAAGATTTAGTCGTGCTTTTTATTTTTGCGTTGTATTTGTCGGCAAGCTATTTTTTCAATAATAAAAAACTGCGAGTGGCTTGAAAAAATTTGGCGTATATTCTCTCATTTCTAGTTACCTTCTTCAAGGTCAAGGTTTCTAACTGCTCTATGTCTGGACATGGTTGAACCCGAAATTGATAAAGTGTATTTTTTTTGTAATTGGAATTGGAATTTTAATTATAGAATACAGAATTGGCCAATAGTGTGAAATTAAATAAATAAAAAATTTGAATGAAGAAAAAAAGAGCAAAAGGGCAACGTGGCTTTTGTTTCTTTCTTTTGTTTGTGCGCAGATTGAAAAAAAATTGAGATCTTGAGATCACAAAGCATATCATGTGACATTTACAACACGCCTTTTCCAGCCATAAGCCCACATAACAAAATAAACGCACAATTCAAAATTTTCATCTTGTGTCGTGTTAACCACCTGCTCTTTCCACGCGCATTGTTTACATTAAGACAAAAACACACACACACACATACACACACATTTTTTTTTTATAAAAACAAGCACACTTTCATCTTTTATTTATTTATTTTATTGTTACCTTGAATAACAATAACAAAAAGGATGGCTGTTACTCATCAAGAGAGGAACTTTGTGGTTATTGAGATTGGCGGCTACACGACCAAGGCACTGAGGGATACGACAGACGTGAACATCCTGCCGTCGGTGGAGATCCGCACACGCGCGGGCATTCTTAAGCAGGAGGCAGAGAAAGCTGACGAGGCAGCGTCACCACTCGACAAGAGCTCCGAGCAAGAATCAAAGCTTCAGAAGCAGCAGGACCAGGGGCAGGAACATACTAGGGAACAGACTAAGGAACAACAGGAGCAAGCAGCAGCAGCATTATCACCACCACCACCACCAGCATCAACGGAGAGTGAGAACGAGGGGACTGACTCTCAAGAAAAGGATGCGGAGAAAAAAGATGATCCTGCCGCACCAGGCAGCAGCACAAAGGACACCGACGAGCCAGCCGAGCCAAGCTACATATTTGGCACAGCATTAGAAACTATTGACCCTGGGCTCCTCGAAGCCACCGTGGACATAATCCAAGCAGGCAGGGTGCAAGACTGGGATTTGCTCTCAGCGCTCCTGCGGCACATTCTCGTGAAGGAGTTGGGTATTCGTATATCCGACAACTACTGCCCGATTATGTTCAGCGTTCCGCCGCAGTGGTCCAAGGTGGATCACGAGGCGTTGACCCAGGTGGCCTTTGAGGATCTGAACGCCCCCAGTGTTGAAATAATGGAGCAACCCCTGCTTGCTGTTTACGGGAATGGTGCGATCTCCGGGCTAGTGGTGGATTTCGGCCACTCAGTGACTACAGTATCGGCCGTTGTGGATAACTGCATCGTTTACAACTCTGTTGCGCAGAGCACGATTGCCGGAAGCGCTGTCACTGAGAGGCTGCGTGAGCTGTTGGATGCGGACGAGGGTCTGCGTGCGCAGATGGACGGAGAGCATGTGTCGCTGGATTTTGCCCAGGCAGTGAAGGAGTCTGGGCTTTGCAAATTCCAGTTGCTTTCGGGCACGGGCGTCTCTAATGGGAAAGCCTCTGCCAGCGGAACCTCCGCTTCCTCCTCCTCGGTTACTGCCGCCGCCGCCGCCGCCGCCGACAGCGAAGCTGCTCAGCAGGAGGGCAACAACAGCGGCAATGGTGGCAACGGGGCCAGTGACGTGCCGTCGTTCAAGTACTTGGGCAAGAAATACACACTGCCCAGGGACGTTCTGCACAAGGCACCCGAGATCCTCATTCGCTCTCCGCCCACCCACGTCCCACTGGTCAGCCTGATGAAGCAGGCTGTGCTGGCATGCGATCTGGAGAGGCGTGCGTCGCTGTGGGAGAGTATCCATGTGGTCGGTGGTTCGTCGCAGTTTGCCGGAATCAAGGGCTTTTTGCAGTTTGAGCTTGAGACTACAGTCCTGCCGACAAGCAACATTTTTGCAAACTCGCAGTCGCGCGAGATTAAGTTCGCGTCGTTGCCAGAGTACTTTGTCGGCTGGCGCAACCGCGGGCACTGGTCGGCATTCCTCGGCGCTTGCATTGTGGCCAAGATTACGCTGAATGACTCGAGGCACAACGTCACTCGGATCGAGTACAACGAGAACGGACCCAGCATTATCCACACAAAGTCATTCTAGTGCTAGCAAAAATGTTAAAGCGTTTAATGTTGGTACAAATGTAAGAAGAGAACAGAAAAAAAAGAATAAGAAAGGCACAATATTAAAAAACGAAAAGCTAAGCCAGCTCAAATTGGGCAAACGACGTTTGCTTCTTGTGCTTGAGCTTCAAGCACTGGTACTGGTCTGACTCCTTGTGGTAGTAAAAACCGGTGACTGCAGCCTCCTCCCGGTCGTAACACACGTAATAGAAGCCATCGTAGCTGGCGCCGTTGATCTTGCTGAGCTTGTAGTTTGGCACGATGAAGCGCTCCTTCCATCTCATAAAAACGAATTTATCCGAGGTGCCCAGTTTGTAGTTAAAGTCCTTCGAGTTGAAGCGGTTTCGATACTGCATAAACGCCGGAAAGAAGCTCTATTGGAGGTATAAAGGCAGGAGAGATGATGGCGAATTGCAAATTAATTAGATAATATATAAATGTACATATTTGTCCAGCTTATGTTGCATATGTACGTATTTATGTGTGTAGAAGCAATATGCAAGGCGGACACACACGCGGCACACGGCAAAAAAATAATAGGTGCATAGGCCCAAAGGCGTAATAACACGCCATACGCAACATCGACAAAATAACTTGCGCCCGCGGTACGGCTCTGCGACAACCAATACAAAAATAATGAGAGAAAAAAACAAGCAAAGAAAAAATACTTACCCAATGAGTGCGATCAGTGTCAACAGTGGCTTCCCACTGGTTAGTGACAAACGAGTTGGACGCAGTGCCAACAATCTGAGCGTCAAAATACGTGGTCAGGGTGGGCAGCTCGCTGGTCAGGCCGCGGATAGTAAAGTGGCCGCACAGCTCAGGAACGCCCATATCGACATACTGCAAGCTCACATCGACCTCATAGCTGCGCTTGCCATTCGACTGCGATCCAGAGAACTGCGAGCCCGAGTACAAGTGGTGAAAGGACGTTGGCCAAGTGCTCCACGCCTGCGAGAATATAAGCTGCTCTGATGTCGGCAGCAGCTCGTTGTCGCGCTCCTCAAACTCCGAGGTATAGCCAGGGTCGAGGTCGTCGTCGTCGTCGTCGTAGTCAATGTCGCTGTCCGCTGTAGGCGAAGAGCCATGCATGGCGCCGCCCATGGTGATGTTGGAGTCCTCAGGCGGCGAGTACATGCCGCCGTTGGGGAAAATACCGGCCTGGCCGCCGCCGCGAATATCCACAGCACGCGGATGGCCACACGCACCAGTGGAAATGGACAGCGGCAATCCGACGGTGCTTCTCTGCGCATATGGCGACAGCGATGATTTGCCGCTGGCAGCCGACGTCACATTAATCAGAGAAACACCGTGCTCGCCTTGTCGCTGCTGCTGCTGCTGCTGCTGCTGCTCGGAGCCACTGGTGCCAAAGAAGGCTCTGCCCTCGTGCAGCAAAAACGGCGACTGCGACTGCGACGGCGACATTGCCGGCATCTGGCTGGCACACCGCATGTTGGGCGAGGCGCTGGGCGACGGAAGGCCGCTGCTGCCAACGTCGACTGGCGCAGGCCGCGTCGGCTTCCGCAAAGCCCCAGCGCCGTCAAATGCCGCCGCTCCAGCACCAGGCCCAATAAGTAAAGCGTTTGGCTGTGGCTGCAACGAGCGCGACAGCAGGCCTCGTGTGGCAGCAGTGGGCGAAGGGGATGCCCCGCTGGGCTTGCAGTCGGCGGTTCGCAGTGTGGGGTAGGCGGTTGCCCGAGGACTCATGCTGCGTGTCGGACCCATTCCAACGCCTCCTGTTGTGTATCCGCTAACGGCGGCAGAGCTCAGCCGGCGCCGGCCGCCGCGATTTTCGCTGACTCTGCGATTGGTTATGACTGGCATGTCTGGTGGCAGCAGTGGAGAAAGAGAGAATTGAAGATGGCAGTGGGCTTTGAAATAGAAAAATAACGTATGGAAAGAAGAAAAAGAAGCAGAGCAGAGCACAGGCGGTGTTAGAGTCAAATGGCTATTTGAACAAATATGTATGTCACGCGCTTGGGCGGGCAGTAATTAAAGCCGAGTAAAATATGCTTTCTTGGGCCAGCTGTTGGTGATGCCGGTTGGTCAATTGTTTTTTCTAGTGAGCAGCAAATAATGTGCGAGTGAAAAATACGAGCAAAAAAGGAGGCGTTGTTGAGCATGCTGGTGGCAGGTATTGCAGGCTGCTTTACGCCGGACAGAAGAGGCCGAGGTATTTATATTTATATGTGGGATGGATGCCTCAGCAGCGCTCGCCAGGACGGCGCAAAAGCGTTAACGTCTGCGCCAGCGTGAATCGAGGGGCGGGCCAACCCAGTTTCCAGATGAGGGTGAAAAATGCAAGCTGCGCTCGTGACCAAGAAAAATAAATAAAAACTAAGCGCACGTGCCACGCGCCTCCTGAGCAACAGAAAGCAATCGCAAGCACGCTGCGCTACGCTCCTTTTCCGGCGCTCCCGCCGATTCAAAAAATAGAAAAGGGACAGCAGCCACAGGCGGCAGCTGCATGCCTGGAACCAATGGCGGGGGCGGGGGAAGGGGGGTTGCATTCAGGCAATGGCGGACAGCAGCGTGCGCATTGTGTCAATAACGACGCGGTTCTCGGCGGGCGTTCCGACGGTGATGCGCAGGCAGCCCTCGCAGCCGTAGTCGCCGCCGCGGTAGCGCACGACCAGGCCCCTGCTCTCGGCCATCTCGGTGTACAGGCCCTTGGCGATCTCGTTGGACACGCGGCCCTGCGCGTCGGCAAAGCGGCACAGCACAAAGTTGGCGTCGTTGCCGCCAACAATGGCCGCCACGTGCGGCAGGCTGCGCAGCGCAGGGATCAGGACGTCGTCGCGCTGGCGGCACAGGTCGGCGGCAACCGCGCGCATCCTGGCGATGCCCTCGGGGCTCAGGGCGTCGCGCGCCACGTCCAGCGCCAGCGTCGACAGGCTGTAGGGCGCCTTGGCGCTGTTGAGGTACGCGACCAGCTCGCTGCTGGCCAGCCCCAGGCCCAGGCGGATGCCGGCCAGCCCGAAGCTCTTGCTCATGGTCTGCATGACCACGACGTTCGGGTACTCGGCCACCAGCCGCGCGCAGGACACGCCGCGGTCGGCGCGCATAAAGTCAACGTACGCCTCGTCGACGACCACCAGCCCGCGGTACTCGGACTCCAGCACGCGGCGGATGTCGGCCTCGGCCAGCCGCGTGCCCGTCGGGTTGCCAGGCGAGCACAGCCAGACGATCTTGACCGTCTGGTCCTGCGTCGCCGCGCGGATGACCGCGTCGACGTCCAGCTGGAACTCGCGCCCGGGCTCCAGCAGCAGCGGCACCTTGGCGACGTTGACGTCGTTGATGCTGGCCACGACGTTGTACATGCCGTACGTCGGCGGCGTCACCAGGATGGTGTCGCGCCCAGGCTGGCACGTTATGCGCACGAGAAGGTCGATGACCTCGTCGCTGCCCACGCCCAGGAACACGTTGTCGATGCTGGGCACCTCTGGCCGCAGCTGCAGCACGCGCTGCTTGACGGCACGCCCCATTGGGTCCGGGTACCGGTGCAGCTGCTGCGCGCAGACCTGCGACGTGACTGCGCCGCTATCGCTGATCGACGTCTGGTACGCTGGCCCGTAGCTGTTCTCGTTGGCGTCGAGCAGAATGCCCTCGCTGTAGTCGTCGCGCGCGCAGCGGTACGCCTCGAGCCTGAGGATGTTTGGCCGGATGATGTGCTTGATGTCGAATGGGGCTGGGGCGGGCATTGCTGTTGTAAGAGTCTTTTGTGTGTGGTTAGCAAGCGGGAGTGAGTGGCCAAAGCAGATAAAGTGTGGTGAGTGGAGGCGAGATTTGTTCTGCGGCAGCTGGGGAGGGGATCCCGATAAAAACGGTTTTTCGTCTGTTTTCTTCTTGAACAGATTAGGAGGCGTGAGTCACCTCGCACATATGTGACCAATCAATCTTACGCCGCCCTGGCCCACAAATCGAAGTTGGCCAAGGCCCAGATCCAACACGTGCTGCTCACAGCCGCCACCCACAAGCTACACTCTCTGCACTTGCTGGGAATGCACCGGCAATTTTGCGCGCGGGAGCGTGTGCCGGGGGGAGCAGCCACAAATCACCCGGCTCCATTGTTGTTGCTGCCCTTTTGTTTGAATCCTTTCCTTCGGCTACTGCTCCTTTTTTACTTCTGCCACATCTCACTTTGCACAACCACCACTTTCTTTGCGCGATCCAATCCCCATCTCCGCCCCCAGCTCTGTCTCCATCCCCATCTCCGTCCCCGTCTCTGTCTCCATCCCCACCCCCATCCCCACCCCCATCCCCACCCCCATCCTCACCTCCATCCCCCACGTTATATTTTCCACAATGTGCGACGTCTCCGAAGGCATTCCGAGCACGCCAATGACGCGCTTCGAGCGCAAGCGCGTCCCGGGCAAGTGCATCAAGTGCAAGACAGCGCAGCCCAACGTGGTGATCCGCGGCTGCCTCTACTGCAAGCCGTGCTTTGTGCGCGCCAGCATCGCCAAGTTCCGCACGGCTCTGAGCAAATCGCGCAAGCGCGCCGAAGGCCAGCCAACAGACCGCGCCATGGTCGCTCTGTCGGGCGGCGCATCGTCCAGCAGCATGCTGCAGCTCACGCTGGACTACCACCGCACCGTGGCCATGAAGGGCGGCTCCGCACAGCCGCTTTATGGCGACATTGTGGCCGGCCATGTTGACGAGTCGGCGCTGTTCGGCGCGCCTGTGGGCGACCAGGGCGGCATTGCGGGCATTGTGGGCAAGGGCACTGCGCTGCACTGCGCCCGGCTCGAGGACGTGTTTGCGGCGGGCGAAGAGGGCGAGCAGCCTGTGCTGCTGCAGATTGTGCGCGCGAACATCGCGCCCGGTGCTGGCATCGACAGCTTCTGCGCGCAGCTCGTGCGGCCCGCGGACTCCGCAGAGGTCGCGCCCAAGGAGCGGCTGGCCAGGCTGTTTGCCGGCCTGGGCTCGGCAACCAACCGCGAGGCAATGCTTGAGGCGCTCAAGACATTCCTTCTCGTGCGTCTGGCTCGCACCGCCGGCTGCAACGTGCTGCTGCTGGGCGACTCGGCCACGCGCATTGCCACGAAGATCGTCGACCTGACCAGCCGCGGCCGCGGCTTCTCGCTGCCGCTGGAGGTCTCCTCGGAGTCGTCCTGGTTTGCCGGCCTGACTGCCATGCGCCCGATGCGCGACTTCACGTCGAAGGAAATCGCCTTTTTCGTGCGCTGGACTGCGCAGCGCACCGTTGTCGTGCCGACATTTACGACCGGTGCTCTGCCGCGCGCGTCGATCGGCCGGCTGACCGAGGCCTTCGTCGTCGGCCTCGACCGCGACTTTGCGTCGACCGTGTCCACCGTCTGCCGCACTGTGCAGAAGCTCGAGCCTAGCCCTGAGGCCCTTAGCGCGCGCCCCTGCATTGTGTGCGCGATGCCTGTGGAGCCCGGGGCCCAGGCCTGGCGCAGCCGCCTGACTGTCAGTGACCCCCAGCAGGGCCAGGGCCTCCGGAGGCTGGATGGCCCTGTGGCGGACAGCGGCAGCGTGGCGCTGGACATTGCGTCGCACCTGTGCTATTCGTGCCAAGACGTTCTGCATTTTGCTGACTCTGACGGCCTGGAGCTGCCGGGGTTCAGCGTCGACCGCTATCGCAGCCAGGTGGCGGCGCAGCCTGTGGCTGGGGAGGACGAGTCAAAGCATGAAGCGCTGCGCAAACGGGTTGAGCACTTCTTTTTAGCCGACGAAGATGATGATGCGTGAGTGGAATGGATGGCCTGATTCGTGGTTTTTTATTTAAAATTTTTTGCTTTTGAAGACGAATCCAAATCTACAAATTGAGCATGGTGCTGCTGCCTCTCCCCCTCTGCATCATCAGCAATATCTGCAACGCTTGCATCCAATCGCTCATCACAAAGGAAAAATTGGTCTCTGCCTTTCGTCATACGCACTCAGCTGCCGCTTCGACTTTATTGTCCCGATGTGTGCATCAAAGACATGGACAATTTGCGATCTGCACAGTGCATGGTGCATTTTTATCATTCAAATCCGATCATGAGGCTGGGAAAAATGATAGTGGCAGCAGCAAGCCAATCGCAATTGTACCTGCTGAGTATGCGAGCACATGTGCGGCAAAAAAACAAAAACACATTCAACTCTATTTCTTGTTTTTGCACAATAAAAAGACGCTTTTTCCTGTGTTCAGAACCTCTCAAAGGCTTGCTTTTTAATATCTGCATGTGCCCACTTCATACATTAGGTTTGAAAATCATTCACACTCAATGTATGAACAATGGTCATGGTCATGAGCCCAGAAATCGCTCTAATTTCTAGAAATGAATGAGTGGATGGATGGATGGATGGATGGATGGATGGATAAATGACCAATTGTGAAGTTGCGTGCTTATCTCGCATTCAACTAATTATGCTATTGCTTAATGCTTGATGCTTGAAAATTGCAAAATTGCAAAATTGCAAGATATGGATGTTTGATTCTCAATGTTTTTGTTAAATAATTTCTTTTTTTGTTTTTGTTTCGTTTTGGACGCATGTCAAAAAATTCATTTGACAGCATAATGCAAAAAATATAAACCCATTAAATAGGCTACTCTATTGCGCTTTTGCATTTTTGTCCTTTTGCATTTTTGCCCTTTTGCACTTTTACCATTATGTCTCTTTGACGTTCCCCATTCCTATTCTCTTTACATCAACCACAAGCCTTAGGATGTTTGTTTATTGCTGAATCCCGGGCGCCTGGTCAAAGAAAGTGCCTGTTTCATCTTTTTAACACACCACATGAACTAGATTTGCTCTCTTTATTTCAACACGGAATGATGGATGCTCTATTGACTCCCGCCCTAATTAAAAATAAATATTTATAGAGAATTGATGTACAAAGTGAAAGAATCAACTGCAGAAACAGCTGCAGAAACAGCACCCCAGTCAACTTCTTTTTGCCGTTATTCACTTACTGACTGCAAAACATTATTTTCGTAATTAATTATTTTCTTTTTTTAACGCCCTTTGCTCTACACTAACAATAATAAAGTACACCTTCTTCTTGGACTTTAAATAGACTGCATCAAGGAGCAGGCTTTTTTTTAAAAAAAATTTCCCTCTCTCTCCCTACTACTTTTATCTAAACTCCCACTCTACTTTGCTCTCTACAGTTACAGCTTTCGTCACTTGCGTTGCCAAAAAATTATTTATTCGCTGCCAGTTTAAAACAATACTTTATTACTTCAACTTTTTTGACACACAATATGGAGCTTATTGACACTTTACCCATTGGCGACCTCCCCACGCCCGTCCACACCCCCGGGTCATCCGAACGCTTTGACGGCCGCCCCATCTCTCCACTCAGCCGCTGCAGCTCTGTGTCGTCTTCGTCGTCCGCGCGCCGTGACAGGTGGAGTCAAGTGTTTGAGCACGCCCTGAAATCCGTAGTTCACATCACCTGTGACGTCCACGTCAGCTTCGACACCCACTCCATGAGCCACTCCACAGCCACAGGCTTTGTTGTCGATGCCAACCTAGGAATCATCCTGTCTAACCGGCACGTCATGTCCAGCGCTCCATCAACCCACTACGCGCGCTTCGAAAACACCGAGAGCATCCGTTTGATGCCTTGGTACTACGACCCTGTCTTGGACTTTGCCTTTTTCCGTTACAACCCTACGGAGCTCAAGCGGGCCACGCCGCTGCCCATTAGCCTGGCGCCGGAAAAAGCCGTCGAGGGGATGGAAATCAGAGTCATCAGCTGCGACTCTGGCGAGTCCATCTCGGTGTCCTCGGGGACCATTGCTGATACCAAAAGGCGACAGGCTACCGGCAGCTGCTGCTTTGACTACCATGTGTTCAACACTTTTCACTGCGTCGCTGCCGCGGGGACAAGAGGTGGGTCCTCGGGCGCCCCTGTGCTGGACATCGAAGGCGATGCTGTCGCCTTGAATGTCGGCGGCATCCACAAGACCCAACAGTCGCTGTTCCTACCCTTGCACCGGGTTGTAAAAACTCTCAACGATTTGCGGCTGGGCAACATGCCGGCACGCGGCACTCTGCAGGCTACCTTCCAATTTGAGCCCACCGAGGTGCTGGTCAAGGCCGGACTGCCGCTGATGGACATTTGCCTCGAGTATCCGGAGTACATCGACACCAGGGGCATGCTCAAAATTACCAGCATCGTCCCAGAGTCACCCGTGGAGTCCCTCTTGATGGTCGATGACGTTGTGTATGCTGCTGATGGAAAGCAGGTGTTTGATTTTGAGAGCTTGTTTGACGTCCTGGACTGCTTTGTCGGCGAATCTGTGTCGTTGGCCATCTGCCGAAACAGCTGCCTGACAACTGTCACTGTGCCTGTCCACGATCTGTTTGCCATTACGCCAACCAAGCTTCTGCGTATTGGCACAGGCTGCTGTGAACGCGGCACCAACATAGTTCTGTGTGATGTTTCATACTTAGCTGCCAGCTCAATGCATGTGCCCCTATCTGGCGTTCTTGTAGCCGAGGCCAACACGCTGTTTACGTCCGCCGGTATTGCACGCGGCAGCATTATCACGCATCTTAACAACCGGTTTATCCAAAATCTCGATGCATTTGTCGAGCTGCTTCTGGGTGTCGAGGATGGTGCTGGATTTATGGTGCAGGTGCTTACAACGTCCGGCGGCAGGTTTTCCAGAATATGTGTCTTGCCGAGTATTCCCTCCGCATACTCCTACGATATCATGCAGCGGCGTGCTAACTCCGGGTACTGGTCCATGGAAAACATCCGCCCCACCGCATTGCCCAAAACACTGCCAACCAAATTGTCAGCCATACCGGTGTCGCTGCAGGCCTCGCACTCTCAGTTTCAAAAGGTGCACTCGAGCATTGTGTATATCCAGTTTTACGGGCTGGCCCCGGTCGGCAACACTTTTTCCTGGGCGAGCAAGGGGCAGGGCTACGTGGCGTCCAAGGAACACGGTATTATTGTCTGTGACAAATCCGCCGTTCCCTCGTATATGGGCACAGTCACTGTTGCCATTGCAAACTCCATTGAAGTCGAGGCCTGCGTCGAGTACATTGATCCCATTGGTTGCTTTGCGTACCTGCGGTACAATCCAGACGAGATTGCCGGTAACGCTTTAGAAGAGGCACCGATTATTGGTACTGATGGTGGCGCCACACTGCGAGTCGGCGACAGCGCCGTGTACTTGGTGCCAAACTTTGGAGATACTCCGATTCTGTGCAAAACACAAGTTGAAATGCGCAGCCTCGTCCCACTCGACGACCTGGACCCAAACCACGAGCAAGTACTAAACATCGAGGCCATACTGCTGAAGGATCGCCCGACCCCCATGTCAAACTCATTCATCTGCGACAATGACGGCTTCCTGCGCGCCATGTGGGTCAGCCATACCAATGCCAGCATGGACGGCGGCAGCAACGACCGCATATGCTTTGGCATCGACATCCAGCAGACATTGTCGGTAATTGAAAAACTGAAGCAGCAGCGCTCGGTGCACCTTTACTCCCTGAATGTCGAGTTCTCCAGGCTCAGTCTTTTGAACGCCCGCATGTACGGTCTGAGTGGCCAGCGTGCGGATGAGTTTTCACAAGCGGTCCCCTATGTGCGCTCAATGTTTGTTGTCCGTAGGGCGCCGACCTCGGGATCTGATTCCCAGGACTTGCATGTGAACGATATTGTTCTCAAGGCCAACGGCAAATGGGTTGACGGCGTATCCAGTCTTGCTGCATTTTACGAAGACAGTCCTGTAGAACTTTTGGTGTGCCGCGAGGGTGCTGAGCATACTCTTAGGCCGAAACTAATGCAAATCGGCGATAAAACTACAAGTCAGGTTGTGTATTGGGCAGGCATGTGCATTATAGATTACGACGGTTTTAACTACAAGCAGCGCAAGTGGCCGTCCAGCGGCATCTATATTTCGCGGACTGGCGTCAGCTCGCCAGCCAGCCATATTTCTTGGCCGCAGATGATCACGCACATCAACCAGGTTCCGATTAAAAATACGAGCGACTTGATCGCCGCAATTCAAAATACGCAGACTGGTTGTCAGCAATTTGCCGGCAAATTGCTCAAAGACCAAATCGGTGTGTCTGATTATGTGCCTGGTGTACTGGTTAAAATCAAGCTGTTGAACAAAAGTGGAGTCGCCTACGAGACTGTCATAGAGACAGACGAGTTGTACTACCCAGCTTCAAGCATTGAACACTGCAACAACGGCATGTCCAAATGGATTCGCAAGTTTATCTAATACTCTAATTTGTATTGTTCTAATTTCTATGAATCTATAAAAATTTAAATTTAAGACCACAATTGCTTTAAGCAATGACGTTGGCGCTGTTGGAGGAGCTGACCTTGTCACTAGTTACGGTGGCGTCCTTGTTATTGGCGTAATAAGTGTTGTCGTTGTAGTTAGCAGCAAAGGAGTCGCGGTCAAAGTTGTTGACCGTGCTGAGCGCAATTGGAAAGCCCGATGCGTAGCTTCCGTAGCTGCCAACACTACCGTAGTTACCAACACCGCCATAATTGCCGATATTGCCATAGTCGCCGATATTGCCATAGTTGCCGATATTACCATAGTTGCCAGCACCGCCGTAATTTCCAGTACCACCGTAGCTATTGTACGCGTCGTATGCTCCGCCGTAGGGGTAGACGTTGTTGTTGTATCCTGCGTTGTAAGGATAAGCATTGCCATAAGCACTGCCACCGTTGACATTGCCACTCCCGCAAGTGTTTTCGGTGGACTGGTAGCTGGCAGAAACGGGGCTGGCATTAGCAGCAGGCGCAATAAAGGCAGCAATGGCAGCAAGAGTGGCGATAGTAGTGGCAAAGCAAAGCATGTTTGTAAATGTTGCGGTTGTAGTTGGTATTTAATCTAAAGTGGAAAGTGTTAGCTGAGTGAGCAGTGTTGTGAGGATACTGAATACCTGGAATATGAGACGCGCATTGTTGCTTTATATATACAAGTTTTTGTCTGGAAGTTCAACAAATAATTTACATAAAGCCTATTTTCAAATGTCAAATATATGAATGCAATCCAAAATTTGCTTGTACATATGTTTTATCCATATTTTCTTGATTCATCTGCCTATTTTATCTTTTTTATTATTGGCACCACTTAAAATCACAGGAATTAACAGCAACAAGTTAATTTGTTGAGCATTAAAGTTGAATTTATAGCAATGCTTGTCCATGTATAAAACAATGGAAAAAATCATATTTAAAATCGAGTAAATATGCTAAAGCCCGATTTGGGCGAATGTACATATTTATTTTTTGTTACTATTGCTGCTACTAATGTTATTGCGGTGTTTGCTGTTGACACTCCGAATTTGACCAAATCAAGAAATTACGTTGGCAGTATTGAGGGCGTGCACGTTGTCGCTGACCACATTGGCGTTTTGGTTGTTGACAAACAGCGTGTTGTCATTGAAATTGGCAGCGTAAAAGTCGCGGTCAAATGCATTCACGGTGTTGGCCGCAAATGGAAAGCCGCCCCAGCCCCAGCCGCCGCCACACCCAATTCCACCGCAACCTCCCCAGCCGCCGCCGCAGCGCTTGGCCAGATGATCGCCAGTGGAATGATCGCGTCTGATAAACGGGAAGCCAGCGGTGCCAGCGACAGCAGCGCCGGTGGCAATTGCTGCGGTGTTCACAAACGGAAAGCCAGCAGTTCCGGCAATGGCAGCGCCAGTGGCAAAGCCAGTGGTCAATGGCCCGACAAAGCCAGTTCCAAAAAATCCGGGAGCACCAACAAATGGCAGAATCGGGCTGGCAGTGGCGCCAGGAGCAATAACAACAACAGCGGCAGCAAGGGCAGCAATAAAAGTGACAGCAGAGTTAGGCATGTTTAAAAGTGATAATTGTATGTATGTATGCTTGTAAATGTGTGTTTGTAAGTGTATGAGGCAAGAGGATGTAGAACACTGAGTGTAATGTTTAACATTTTGAATTGTTAGTCCGGGCTGCTCTATATTTATACACTTTTTGTATGCACTCAATATTTTTATTATTTTATTTGAAAAACTACATATAAAAACATTTCACTGCATGTATGTTGGATCGCTCGATGTATCGAGTATCGCTGTTAAGTTACTGCGCTTGTTAGTGCTAAGTTGCTGATTGGATAAAAGTTTTTGTCAATGACTATGTCAACATAAAAATATAAAGGAAACGAACACGCAGAAAATTTTATTTGGTCAGTATGGAAATGTCAACTCCGCAGTTTTCGTCTGTTTCGACGCCCAGATCCTCAAACAAATCTTTGAGCTTTCCCGGATACCCTTCAGCAATGGCGTCAGATATGTTTTTGAACATTCGCTTCCGGGCAGCCCACTGCTTAACCATCGCATTGTACTCTGTGTCAATCTTCTTCTTCTCTTGAGGAGAAATGACATCGCCCGACCGCATCTGGACCAGCCTTTCCTCGTTTGTCTTCATCTCCAGCGTTTTCTTGGCGATGAGCTCGCGCATCTGGTCATCAGTCAGGGCACTATTCAACCCTTGCAACCGTCCGCTCAACACTTTGTTATCCTCTTTGAGTTTGTTCATGCGCTCCTCCATCTCTCTGATCGACTCCTCCTCCTCCTCTGCATCCTCGATGTTGGGAACTTCGATAGAGTCCTGGTTGGCGTAGAATATCTGCAGCTTGTTGTTGGTCTTAACTATTATCTTGCCCTCTTCAGCCAAGTCGTTGAGAAGCTTTTTGGCCTGCGCTGGCGATACAAGCCCATGGAGCTGGC